GTGTCATCTCACCATTCGCTTCTCGCCCAAGGCTGAAAATCAGCTGCAAAAAGGAACATCTTGTTCAGGACGTTAAGGACGTTATTGTCTCCTCCTTTACTCACTAGTAAGTCAGTTGGCACCAATGTATTTATGTTTGGACAGCTTTACTCTCAGTGCTCCGCACAGTGTGTCTTTGAAGCCTTCTCAACGATACCGTCGAAAGGATGAAGGCGAACGCCGTCTTTATCGGCAAATTAGCAAATTAGCATAAACGAGGGAGATGGGAATGTTTCCTTCTTCCTTTCTCTCTGAGAACTTTGAAAAGATTAGGCATTGAAGCTATGGCGTAAAGGAATCGTAATGTGAGTATGAGCTTACATGTGTGGAAATGAAAAAGGTTACTATAACTTTATTTCCTGAGGTAAAGGGCGAACCGGGGTACAAGCGAAGAACTTAAAGGCAGTTGACACGTTATCCTCCAAGACGAGTAGGATTGAGACGCCTGGCAGGACGGATTTCCGCGACCCTGAGCAGGCGCTGCATAATGCCCTTTCCAAGGGAGGTGCACTCATACATTCCATTCGTCTGCTTCCCCCTCGGACGGTTGGTTTCCTTCTATCGACGACTTCCAAGCTGGAGGTAGCGACTCCCGTGCTCGAACCTTCCTGAAGATAGCCGCCGTCAACGTCCGCGGCCTTTGGTCTCAACAACGACTGCGGAACAGAAACAACAACGCCGAGAACATCGCGACTACACCAGAATGGTTTCAGAGCATGGCCCGTTTCTCTGTTTATCTCAGATGATTAGCGGAAATAAATTGTATAAATTGTATTGTATTGTGCCCTTATAAGGGCCTATCAAACTGCAACATACCGACCCAAACGCCCGCCACGCCCGCCCGCCCACAAATGGACGACCGTTCCTGACGCTCGTATTCATTCATTTGCTAAGCAAATTATGAAGCGAAGGGATTGGTATGAAGCGGCCGTGATGCTGCATGGATATATGAGTACACATATGCAGCCGTACCTTCGGTAGCGGTTATTGGCAAGATGCCTACAGGAAACTCGTCCAAAATTGATTTCTAACACACTGAGAACGGAGGCTTTTTCTTCGCAGGATTTTGACCGTTTCACTCCGTTCTTCTTTCACCCGTCTCTCGCGTCATTTCTCAACTACAATATCATGAGCTAAACAGCATGCGCCCCTACTAGCATTTTATTTTTAAGGGCGTCACATAAAATCATGTGCCGACTGTGTTAAGCGGAAGTGCACTGAATGACACGGAATCGGCACTAGCTGAGAATGGTCCCGGCTGAGTGAAAAGACGAAGTTCTTAGAGCTCCGAGCCAATGCTCAGAAACCGCGACAGAAGATCGCCATAGAAGCAGTCCTTCGAGAGCATGGAGGACTTCCGATAACTGGGAAGCGATCTAGCCACTGACTGAAACGTGGACCATGGGGTAAAGCTCGAATCAACATGGTCTGAACAAAATGGAGAGAGTTCACTGGCATACTCTGCGATCGGCGGTGTTCGAGAACGCTCGGGCAAAGGGTTCTGAGGCGAAAAAGTGAAGCCTGCAATGCTCTTCTGCAGCGAGAGCTGGCTCATATACAAGAACCATGAAAGGAAGCTTCACTTGCCGAATGCTGAGTTGGGCCTGCGGCTTGAACTGTGACCTATGATACAGTAAGGAAAGAAAACGTCAGAGCGGTCATGCAGACGGCTCATGTTCAAGTGAGATGGGAGCAGCGGATGCGTTGGTACGGACACGTTCCGAGAGGACCTGAAGACCACTCAATATTAAATGGTACTGTTCTTCGAACTACAGGAAAAGCGGACAGAAGGAGCTTCACAGCAGAGGTGGAAGAACGTCATCATCGAAGGAACTCTGTCACTACTGGAGATGCCTTGATAAGATAATAAGGCGAACGTCTAAGATCGCTGCCATGGAGCGCACTGTCGCTAGGAAGGTAAGAAGGCGCACCCGTACTTAAGGCGCATCTTCGTATCGGACGTGCTCATTGTCGCGTGCGACCCCACGAGCATTCAAATAAATGGCCCTTATACCTCAGAAAATGGACTGATAGGAAAGATTTCAAAATTTGTTCTGCCGAATCATTCTGTGATTCGAAACTTGGATTGCTGTCAAGTCTTGGAACAACAGCACTAATCATGAGCCTATATACTTTGTACATCACCAAAATCAGACAAGGGAAGATAATGACTTCTGTTTATTCAGGCATGTGAATATATTGTCAGTAGCCAACTTTCTAGCAATACTGTTGAAGGAATTGGGCTGCGGTGTTGAACAGATTCTGCACTTGCTGCGGTGTTGGATTGCGTCCTCCGTTTGTCCAAAAGACCAGCTGAAATTGAAAGCTCGATATGAGTGCCGTGCTGTAGTGGCCACAACAAGACTGTGGCTTTCCTTCGGACGTCATTCTGCACTTCATATCCCTCGGGTGGAGAGGGCGTGGCGTCGTACTTCTCTTGAACATGGCATAGGATACGTTTTCATAAGATTCTTCTATCTGAGACACACTGTCCCATTTTGTCTCAATCGAAAGATCTGTCATTCTGGACAAAAACTGATAGTCTATTCCCACATACGACAATATCCCAACTAAACAACGCTATACACTCAACATTCGATGGCAGTACATAGGTCAACGCCTAATCCCATATCTGGACAAAGTGTATCGCTGTCCCCGATTTCATGAGCAGAACTTACATTCCTGCTCAAATTGTTCTGTGAATCCACTGGAAGCGGTGTCTGCTGGCAGTAGGTCGACGCCGTCTGAGTCTAAAAAACACTTTATTTGCATTTGATTTTTGAAACGGAAGGAGCAACGTCTGTCGACAGTGAATTAATCAGTCCTGGAATTCATCGACGCGTGCGTTACACTTTTGCAATCTGGCATTTTTGATGTTGCGGAAGTCTACTCATTAGGCTCACGTAAGCCACCGGTAAGTGTTTTACGTTAATCCTTAGTTATTTTAGCAATAGAAATCATTCCATGTGCAGAGTACAAGTGTGCGTGCTATTACTAATGTAAGTCATAATCGTGCAAAACTTCGATTTTGGGCTTTCGTTTCAATAGTAATGCAAGCATCGCTCGATGCTTCCTTTGCAAGAATTGCGACGTCTCAGCAGCGCCTAAATGCTTCTTAGACTGCGAGGTGACACGTTGAGAGTCCCCTGAATAAAACCCTTCCTGATTCTGCACGAAATCACCAGGACAACTTCGCTTCGTGCCTGCAAATCGATGAAGTCACCGGCTCGGTGTCTCCGAGCTGATTTCCTGGGCGTTCTCCGCCACAGTCAATAATGAAATATATTCTTGATACGGCTAGAGACACCGTTTCACTTACCTCTGATCTCATCTGATTTATGGCAGGCGAGAGCATAGCCAGTGTTGTTTGGTCGTATTGTAAATTCCAGAGTGAGTATAGAGCATTGGAAATTGAACTGAAAAACAAATCACTGATTACAAGGGGTTCTGTCTAAGGTTTAGGTATAACTTTTCGCCGCAGTTTCATGTCGAATCATGTTGTGTTGTTCATCATGTTATCATGTTAGCAAGCGCCGCCCATCTGGAGTACGCCCCGCCCCCTCAAAAAGGACTTGTCCCCTCATTCCGTCCGCCTACTCATTTCTTATCGTTTCCCAGCTTTTCTGCATTCTGGCACTTCTTGAACCGAATTACGAATATCTGAGATAGGAGGCTTTCGGTTACGCATACGCCGCCCACGACAGGCGGGGATTAGCTTCATTTGTTCCGTCC